GGAGATTGTAGCAGAGCATTTAAATGAAATCATGGATGGACAGAAATCTGACCTGAGAACATATATAGGACGAAAAAGATTGATGATTATTCAACTGTTTTGCTATAAAGAATTTAGACAAGGGCACCTCGGCATGGTGCAATGGTTAGCAAACTTTGTCTTGCTAGATTAATTACGACTGCATAGTGAGTTCGATCCTGACTGGGTGACTCAAATTGTCGGCCTTGTGCCACATCTAAGTTATACTTAGAAAATCATCCCAAGCACCTCGAGGCAGTGTAATGGTTATCAAGCTTGTCTCACTAGAACAATTATGACTGTATAATGAGTTCGATCCTCACTAGGTGACTCAAACTTTCGGCTTTGTGCCACATCAAAGTTACGTTTAGAAAATCAATTTGGGCACCTCGAGGCGGTGTAATGGTTAGCAATCTTGGCTCGCTAGAACAATTACGAGTGAATAGTGAGTTCGATCCTCACTGGGTGCCCCATACTTTCGGCCTGATGCTACATCTATGCTACACTTGGAAAATCACTAGAGAATTTCGACAATCAGTGAAAATATGTACACAATTCTCACAGATATCGCTATTGCGAGAATGCGATTAAGTTTCACATAAACATGCATGTTATTATATAGCAAGTAAAATTACAACACTAAGTTTGAAACTATAATGGCTTTAACGAAAATATCATTTGCCGACAGCAATGAGAGTTTCAAGGCAAGATATTTATTTGATTGCATTTCAATAAAAAGTTATTCAAGTCAGATGGAATCTTAGAGTTTTGTTCATTCTGGTTTCTTTTATATTAATTTTTTTTAATATTTGTAGAAGATTGCGTACTTGAAATAAACATGCTATCCACGTTATCGGTCCCAAAGCTTCAGAGGAACCGCTTTGAAAACAAAATTCATTAAACAAATTCGATTTATTGATTTCCAATTATTTACTTGGTTTTATTTTATTCTTCTTGCTTTGGTTTTGGGATTAAACTTTTGGAAATATTTTCCATTTTCGTTGAAGATTCTGGCTTTGAAAAACGGACGCTTTTTAAATGTACCATTGCCTATTAGAAAAGAAGAACAATTTTATTTTCATATTTTAAAAGATAATATCAATACAATACTCTTTTTAATTTCTCTTTTCACAAATCTATTTATCTAAATAGTAAGGGTAAAAGAATGAAAATGAATACGTTTTGGCAATAGTTAATAATTATGCCTCTGTTGCTTAATATCTATCAATCTTTTTATCGAATAGTGTTTGTTCATTTCTATGTATTTAACAAGCACATTTTTTTAATATCTAACAGATTTTGTTCCTATTTTTCTGTCCATCTATCAAACAGATTTATTTATATGTATGTATGTATGTATGTATGTATGTATGTATGTATGTATGTGTCTATCTATATAACAGATTGCGTTCGTATCAATGTGTTTATCTATCAATCTAACAGATTTCATATCTTTCTATCTAAAATATTTTGTTGATATCTCTCTACCGATCTGACAGACTTTGTTCATATCTATCTATCTATCTATCTATCTAACATAATTTCTTCTTATATATATATATATATATATATATATATATATATATATATATATATATATAACGATTTCTCTGACATTTTTCTTCATATCCGTTTCTCTATTTAAAATTTTCTATGTAAGTAACATATTCTTCAAAACTATCTGAAATGTTCTTCATGTCTATCTATCTATCTATCTATCTATGAATCTATCTATATATCTATCTATCTATCTATCTATCTATCAACCTAACAAAGGTTGTTCATATTTTCTAACCGAATATGCTTTTTATATATCTTTCTTTTTCTCTTTATATATCTAATATATTTCTTCATGTTTCTCTCTTTCTCTATTATACACACACACACACACATATATATATATATAATATTTTTCTTCATATCCGTCTCTCTATCTAACATTTTCTTCATAACAATCTATCTATCTCTCTATCAATCTTTATATTTATTTATCTATGTATCATATTTATCTCGGTTTGCTTTTATGCGGATCTCACAACACACACGCGTATACACACACTCACACACACATATATATATATATCTCAGTCTTTTCATATCTATCTATTTACTTATCTATCGATCAACATATTATTATCAATTTATATATAATGTTAACATTTAAGCAGGTTTTTATGGGTTTCTCTCATTTTATACGTTTCTATCATCACTACGTACTGATGGTTGTGATTTTTTTCATTTCGATAATCGATGAGATAATTTTCGGTTTTATTTTGTCGCTTTTATACAGAACGGCACTTGCTTTTTTTCTTACCCGTTCTTGAGTTTAAGCATTCAATTATATTGCACTAACGAGATGAACAACGCTGGACTTTTACTCTTTACAGAAAAACTAAAGCATTCCAACAAACATGAAATTTTCTTTAAAATATTTTTCTAGCCGTGTTAAATATATTTAAAACCTAATTTTAGTGCATCTTTCATTCTCTAAGTTTGAGACGTACGTGGATAGGCGAGCGTATGTTATTTTGTATGTGTATGGGGACGTTACTGTGTGTTTTATGTATAAAACTTTCTTAACATAATATTCCTACTGTTAATCCACTTGATAATATATCTAGTTTTCACAAAGGAATAAGTTCTTTTCTCAATCGTCCACTAGAGTTTCTTTCTTTTAAATGCTCACTTATTTGACGGAGTGTCCAATTACAAGGTTTTGTAACCATCAATTTTCAAATTATCTATTATATCTCAGTTTTAGGTATTTTTCTGCGGGTTGTTTTACTGTCTGTATCTTGAGAAATGACGAGAGTTTTCTATTCTGCTTTTTAATATTATTTTGATTTCGAGATCAAATATAAAATCCTTCTTATAATAAACATCAGATGCGTGTATGGGAGAATATGTGTGTTTGTGTTGTAATGTATATAGATGTTGTTTTATTATATATATATATATATATATATATATATATATATATATATAAAGAAATATAGTCTTAAGATGTGCTATATTTATGGGATAAAGTGCTCAATGTCAGAGATAGAGCGTGTGTAAATATAGAAGTGAAAATAGAAGTCAGCACTTAGAGGCGACAGACTGTTTCATGCTAGATACAATCGTCAGGACACGATTACATATATACATACATACTTTATTTTATTATATATATATATATATATATATATATATATATCTGATCTTGCTCTAAATTTTCTGTAACCCCTTGCGTCCTAGTGGCTCCCCGCCTTGCTAGGGGTGAAATGCTTAAAAAAAATGTAGTATCTATCTATCTCCCACTTTCACTTTCTCTCCCTCATTGTCTTTCTCTACTTCCCTATTTCTCTCTCTCTCTCTATATATATATATATATATATATATATATATATATATATATATATATATGTGTGTGTGTGTGCGCGCGTGTGTGTTAGTGAGTCTGTGAGTAAACCGACATATTTACTGTACGATTGGTAAATTGTCGCCATAGTATATCTTTAACATTGCGCATGCGCATTGATTGTTTTTTCATTTTGTCAACGGCACAATACAGTAGGGTCAGTTTGTCAACGTCTGGAAGAAAAAGAACACAATGATGTAATGAAGTTCGCCAGAAATTTGGGAACGGCACTTGACACTGCTTGTCATTCGCGCCGGAAGCTCCTATACGAACATTTCAGCGTTTTTGTGTGTAAATCTGTGGACAGTGCAAAGCTTTCTGAAAAAGTTGGGTGACTCTAACGCAGGTTACGAAGGTTACGGTATTCAGAAAACTCGCTCTGATCTTTCTGCTAAGAAAAGAACAACCGCAGTTGGTGAGGGCCTCAGATTCCACCTAGAGGTCTGCATGAAGTGTCTTGAGGTAGTGCTGCCCTGTGTGAAGAGAGTGGCTACTCGAGGACCTTTTGTCTGGCAACTGGACTTTGCACCATACCACACACAGGAGAAACCACTCATGACTGTCAGACAATTTCGGCAACCACACCATTTTTTACATCTGGAGATTCCGTAGTCATCTGGGGCCGAGATTAAAGCCAGTGTCGATTTTATTGAATAAATTTACTATTTCGTATTTCAGAATATTTTTGCTTCATTTTGGAAAATATAGCTGTTAAAATATTAAATTTTCAATTTTGCGTAATGCAAACAAAGACGTATCCATCGAACCCTGTATATATTTGTGTGTACACATGTGTTTGTCTGTTTGTCTGTGAGCATTTTGTATTTTTGGGCCTGAGTGTCCACGCCTTTATCATATAGCACTGAAACGTTCATGGCCCAGGCAAACGCTTTTCAAAAGGTATATATATATATATATATATATATATATATATATATATATATATATATATATATATATATATATATATATATATGTATATATGTATGCATATGTATACACATATGCATATATATATATATATATACGTTCATATATATAAACACACACATATATATATATATATATATATATATATATATATATATATATATATATATATATATATATATATATATATATACGTATTATTGGGTATTTGAGCTGCAAACACATTTTAATACAAAGTTTGATTAAAGACGACAGACAAGATTAAGCGTTTTATTAAATGTTTCTTACCTTTCTTGTCCACCAAAAAGAACACTTATACGAACACAAGAAAATTGGATTAAAAAGCTTAACCTCAGTACGTTGTCAGTCGTCTTTAAATATATATATATATATATATATATATATGAATCACACACACACACACACACACACACACACACATATAAATATATATATATATATAGCTGTATACTTTCTAAATGCTCACCAGAACTCATGTATCAAAGAACTTAACAACGTTAAACAAACACTAATTAACAACGGAGAATCATGACCAACAAATTAGAATATTCCTCCCAAAGCAAGTAAAAAGAAAAAATAAAATTCACATAATTTTTTCTTCAAGCAAGATGAATCCGACCAAGATAAAAAATCAAACTTTATAGATACAAGCAGACTGAGATAATACGAACAGTTCAAAAGATAGATAGATAGATAGATAGATAGATAGATAGAATAGATAGAAACAGACTAAAGATAGATACGAACAGTTTGAGATAGATAGATAGATAGATGAAACACATTTAAACAGACTGAGATAGATACGAACAGTTTGAGATAGATAGATAGATAGATAGATAGATAGATAGATACAAACAGACTGAGATAGATACGAACAGTTTGAGATAGATAGATAGATAGATAGATAGATAGATAGATAGATAGATAGATAGATAGATAGATCCCTGGAGTCTCTCTTCTACCAGAAGTACAATAGACGTATAACAGGATATTGCGATTACTAAGTTCTTTGCTGATGAGTAAAGAAAGGGGGATAGTGTCTTTCGCAGCAAATCACTAGAACACATTAAAATATATTCCTCTTTTTCTTGTAATAGTTCTTCTTCCCAATATTATTGTTATTATTATTATTATTATTATTATTATTATTATTGTTATTATTTCTACATAAAGCTGACAATTAAAGACAACAATTATTCCAAAAAACTGGTAAGAGTGTTAGGAAAGATTAAGATGGATACTGATTAGGAAAGTCTTAGAAAATCCAAATTTATCACAAATACAAAATATTGTACTCATGATTGCGTCTCATATCAGAACATTTTCAACAATTTCCGAAGATAAACCTTCATTTACCATTGTTCACAGGTGAAAAAAGTGGCAAATCATTGTAACAATCAGCAAATAGTTTTAAGCAATATATTAATGGTGAAAACTGCAAAACAAGAACAACAATAATATTGTTCTTATACCCATCGTTTCCAATAATAATAATAATAACAATAATAATAATATCGAAGGAAACTGCAACAGAACAGGTATGAACATCACACAATCCCAGTTACAGAGATAGGACCTGTAACATTTTTTTTGATTTTACAATACACACAGAACAATCAAATCTAATAGCTCTGATTGATCCCAAGATAGTGAACACACAAAAAACACAATGTGCTTTCATATAGTTATAAGTGAAATACACTCCTATTCTATAGTTAATAAAAATTCTCCCTTATCCCTAATATAAGTAGGAGTCAAAATTACAAAAAGAACAAACGAGGGTCAGTCGATGTCGGACTCATAAACGACATGGCTGAACGGTTGAACTCTCTGCCTTCGGGGGGAAGAACCACGAACGAGGCTAATATATTAACTGCATCCACTTGCAAAAAGACTAAAAAATACGGAAGCTCTAATAATAAAAAAAAGCCAACTCTTAACAATCTCATTGAACAAAGGGAGGTAATTGGGAACCTGAACCCTTTATAACGGGTTCAACCAGGGTATAGCCGGAAAGCGCTCGGAAAAAACAGCCGGACAGCCCAGAAACGGGCTTAGAGAATCCCACAAGAAAAATTTAAAACCGGCCTTGTCTGTGCCTGCCCTAATTATACAAATATATATATATATATATATATATATATATATGTATGTATATATACCCACGTGGTGGGGTCAGCATAATCTTTTCTTCTAAATCCGACCAAGCGCTTATAGTCGATGATAGGACGACAGTTCGATGATCGGATGATAGATAGTCAAAACTGATAGATACGCCTTTGAGATAGATAGATAGATAGATAGATAGATAGATAGATACAAACAGACGAGATAGATATGAACAGTTTGAGATAGATAGATGAATAGATAGATAGATAGATCGTCCGGGAAGGATAGATCGATCGATCCCGATTCTCTTCTTAGAAGTACAATGGGGTGTACAGGGATATTGCGATTGTTCTTTGCTGATGACTAAAGAAGGGGGGCTCTGTCTTTCCAAAATTAAACACATTATGCAACATGTAATAGACTGCGTTATTATTATTATTTTTTATTATTATTTATTATTATTTATTTCTACAAATATCGTCGATGTCGGACGACAGTAAGATCGACAGATTAGTCGAACAATACAAAAGTAGTCATTGCGACCATCAAGAAAGATTACAATTTCTGCGTAAACCTTCATTTACCATTGTTTAGATCAAAATTGTTCCAAATAACGTTTTGTACGTCGAACCTAATATTTAAAAACTGATTTAGTAATAAAATATCAAACTGCAAACAGAACAGGTATAACATCCAACTGTTACGAAATAACATTTTTTTGATTTTACAATACACAGAACAACTTATTGACATGGAAGTCCCTGCAGATTGTAATTTATCTTTGAACATCTTCACAAAATTATGCGGGGATGTTGAAATGGAAAATGTAGCACATAATAATAATTCAAATTGTAATTTGAGCCATCAGATTGATTATAAAAGGTTTCGATGGACTCATTGTAGGGATTCCTGATATCTCATTAAGGTATGGACTAAGAAAAATAAAGAATGGCTTAGAAACTATCGGTGGAAAATGTCATGAAATCGTTTGTGTCTTTTAGTCTCTGTCTGAGTCCCGGAAGGAAATATATATATACAACTGAAATCAAAGGAAATGTTAACAACAACAACAACAACAATATACATAATAATCACAGAGTCGCGTTTAAGTTCTTTTCTGTAAGGTACGAAGAACATCTTACAGCTATGGATTTAATGTCCGTTGTAGAATGACTCTCTAACCTTGGGTAACAATCTTTCAAGGAGAAGAAAACTTTGAATTTAAAATTCTGGAGATCCTCGTCTATCTTTCCAAAGAAATCTTTTCATCACATAGAAGATAAAAAAAATGGAATCTGAAGGAGAACCATGATAGCCAACGTCCTGCAGGGACCTAGCACATTATGTTAACGTTTATTTCATTGTAATACGGCCAGTAATTATAAAATGACATTTAATCTTCAATTATCGCAAATCTCAGATGAAAAACTTGGTAAATGATTGCATCAAAAGAGAAATCCTTTAAAACAATAAATATTTGTTTGTACCTATCAGATTCATGGTGTTTATCGCTGGAGGTTAATTTACAGCAAATATACCCATGTATTTCCCCCTTTTTCAGCATGTTCTAAGTCTGCAGTATTTCTGTGGTATGGACGGTTGCAATCATTTCTAGAATTTACCATATTCTGCTCTCATCTGTAAAGTATTTCTTTATGTTTCCAGACGTGTCAGCCATTACCATGTAATGCCATAATTGTACAAACTAATAAAAACGTAAATATACAATAAATGATATTATTGTTTATTCAAAGCTAGATTTGTCAATTAATATTTGGGTTTTACGTTTGTGGGATTGACGTTTTATACAAACGTCTTGCTTGATTGCCTTTTGCTGTTTATTAACTTTTTGCAAGATATTTAAAGCAAGAAAATGTCTAATGGTTCGTATAAAGAACATGGTTAAATAGTTCACTGGGATTAAAACATTTATTTAACATCTGTTTGGGATTTCTAAAAATAGATGTAATATACTTTATGGCGATATATCTTTATATAAGTACATTATTTTTTTTATTTTATTCGTTTTCTACGGCTTATCAACCCTTTGCAGGTTATTTAAATCCAATAAATATTTTCAGATTGAATGCATTTTTTTTAGATAATAATGATTTAACGTTGCGAGTTTTGCTAATTAACAGATTGCTGGGGGAAAGAAATTAATATTTGCACGTAAGTGATTATAAAGAAAATAACTGACATTAGAACTCAGCTCTCCGATTAACAATTCCGATTCCATTATCAATTACAATACCAAACATCCAACCTTACAGCACCTGGTATTACGAAGTGGTCAACTATCTTGGTACGCACAAGTCTCGATGTAGCTTGACGTAATCTTACGAGAACCGGTGTTTTGAATTGATGTCGTTACGGCCACATCAATTTGAAACACTGTTTCTCATACGATCAGGTTAAGCAACGTTGAATCATGTCAGTTCCGAGATGAGTCACCTTAGATAATTGGCATTCTCTGAACGTAGCGTCTGTTTTCTCGCGTGTTTGTAAAACACTCTTATCATTTCCCTTTAGGGTGGGTGCTTATATATATATACCAGTCATTGTCTCATTATACACAGCTTAAGCGCGGTTGGGTCAACAACCCTGTCCGGGAAGGTCACATACATCTAGTAGAGGCACAGGGCAGCACCTGGTCGTTAGGAGGCCAACTGCCCGTTCAACGAGCTCAACCAGCTGATGTAGTCAGTATCTGTGAATCTGTAATGCTGAGTCAAAATTCTCTTTCGGCAATACATACGACGATAGAAACAATTCTTACCCTTTCTCCCTATGCTCTTATAGTATAATGAAAGTTTACAATGTTGCTTTTTTCCACACACTCTCTCTCACTGAATGACTGACTGACTGACTTACTTCCCTTCGCCCTCTCCCTCTCACACTCACACTCTTTCTCACACACACTAAATACTCCCTTGATAGGAACAATCTGTTGGTCTTATAACAGGTTCATGGACCCTTTCCAGTTTTTCGATTTGTGGAACATAGAAGTGGATTAGCATATTTTTCTGCGTGATCCATTTCTATTCAGTGAAACTTGAAACCTGATTGGTTACCAGAAGCTAATTTACACGTGCTCACTGACCTTATTCAATGGTGAAGCGTTTTTCTTTTTTTTCTTTCCCATTTAGTCCTTCTGCAAAAGCAGAATACGACACGAAAGCTGTTTGGCCCTCGAGGTATGCTACCATTTTCTTTTGTATAGAGGCCCTGATATTTTTTAAAGTTTTTTTTTGCGTTCTTTTTCATTTTCATTTTGTCACAATGTCAGTCGTTCTCGAAACTACTCTTTTCATTGATTACAAATATCAGGTCTTGGTTTTTTTTTATTTGGATAGCTTGATTCCCTACCTGGCATTTCCTCTTTTTTTAGTTTCTACGAGAAATACTGTTATTTTTCTATTCTAGCGTTTATTTAAACGAGTTTGAGCAGAATTCTAAGTATTCACCTATTGTCTTGTGCAAGTTGAAAATATATTCTTTTTGAGCCATATTTCTGTAACTTTAATGAAATATCCAGCAGACCTTTTTTTTTTTTTTGCTATATATATGTTATATTTGCTCTGGTATAATTAGGGTATCGAGTTTTATTTTGGGACTGCAGTAGCAAAAATATTTCGTTTTTTTATTTTTAAATGCCCTCTGCGTAACTGCGCAGATGATAATTTGGCATTGATTATTCCTGCACTTTAATTACTATTTTAGAAATCTCTTTTCCTTTTTTCCTTTCCTTTTATCAGTATTAAAATAAAATAGTTGATTATGATGTTTCTTATATCCAGCCCTTGAGAGTATTTTCTGGTGAACAAAGATTGTGTATAGATCGTAGATTCCTTTTTTTTTCCCTGTTACTTTTATGATGACGTAAAACGTTTCTTGTGATTCTGTTAATGACGTAAAATTTAAGGGGTGAGATAAATTTTTTGATTTGTTCATTTATACTTAAATCATGTAGAGTCACTCCGCACAGAAATATTTACCCGTTTCACGACACCTCGGACTTACGAACAGCTGTAAAATCTTATAAATTAAATTAAAAACAATAAAAATAATGCAAATCTTACCAATCTGTATTGTACGTTGAATAATAATATGGACATGATTGTTTTTCTTTCTTCAAAATTGGTCAATATATATATTATTAATAATTAAATTGAACAATAAATATTTACTTTAATTTGCAGTATGCAAACCAAATTAACATATAGAATGTCAAGCTGTTTTTCGTGTTTGTTTTTTGCGTTTTCTGTTCACTATACCTGACAATAGATTTATAAAGAGTTGGAAGAATTCTAAATTTCTTTTACTACGATTAGAATTTTATGGCGACACGCTTCCGCGTGTTGAAATCCCCACAGTATTTAGTATTGTTGAAGTTATCGATAACATATTTGTCGAGATTTAAAAACTCTACGCGTCGTTCAATTTGACAAACCGATCAATGAAATTTGAATAAGCTGATGTGTTTGGAAAATAATTTGTCAAAAACCTTACATCGCTGTTTAATAGTTTCTTTAATTCAATTTAATTTTGTAGGACTTCATGGTAAACAATGTTTCTTTTTTTTTAATTTGGTTTCAATCAGTCAATATATCGGTACTTTAGAAGGTAGTCGTAAGTTACGTATCGAAAGTATTAATTCAAGGAATTATGAATTTTAAATCAAAGTTCGTCTTTTTATTACATTTTTGGCACTCTTTTGCAATAATAAAATTTAAAACAAAATTTGTTTAGCTTGCCTCGCAACAACCCTCAGAATAAAGATTACCAAAAACATGAAGTTATTCACATTTCGTAAGTTCGACGGATATTCGGGGTACTTACAAGGGAGTTTTTACAATTAAAAAAAAAGGAAGAAAAAAAACTGTTTTTTTGGTTTGTTTTCTTCATTATCGGGGTGGACGGGGTCAGAGCTTCCATATTTAGAAATAGCGCGCCCGAATCACCCAGGTTTGCGGCGATCGCAATATCAACCCACATTGAAAGAATTTGGTGTGAATTTTAGTAAATATATTTTTTTTTATTTCGTGGTGAATTACTATTTCGGGGTGAATTACTATTTTGGGGTGAATTACTATTTTGAGGTGAATTAACAGAAATCGCTCGTTTTTACCTGATTGATCATAAGACTCACTGACAAATGAAAATCCATACAGACGATCTCACTTAACGACTTCCTCCTTAACGATTCCGGATTAATGACCATCTATAAAATCGCATACATAAAAAAGAAAACTAGTTGATATTGTACGTTGTACTAAAATATTGATCGTTATTGTTTTCTCTTTCTTCAAAATAAATGAAGTAAAAAATTAAAAAAATAATAATTGTACCGTACTAAAAGTATACAAAACAAAGTAATGCACCGAATATAGAGCTGATTTT